AGACCACTGCTCCAGGGCAGCGCCGGGGACCAGTTGCCTGAGGCTGCCAGAGCAGCGGCTAGTGCAGCTGGCCCCCAGGCTTCCCCAGGTGCTGGGGTGGTCCTGGGGTCAGACGTACCAGCACTTCAGAATTCACAGAGGTCACGGAAAGTCACGGAAGCCGTGACTTCTGTGACCTCTGTGAATGATTTGCAGCCTTAGTCATGAGCATTGCAAACACAGGGCAACTGATCCTGCAGTATTTGTGGAGCTATGGGGAACATGATTTCTTGGAGGCTATTGGAGGCTAGATTGCTGTGGGACACGGAAAGAAACATGTTGGCGGCATTCATGGAGTAGCTTCAGATGGTGGAGTGATGGTTCTGGGCCCAAGAAACTAGCTCTGACTGGTAGGACACATTGTCATGCAGGGTTGGGATGATGAGTAGTGGCTGAAGAACTTTTGGATGCACAAGGCCACATTCCTGGATCTGTGTGCCGAACTTGCCCCAGCCCTCCAGTGCAGTGACACCAAAACGAGAGCCATGCTGACAGTTGAGAAGTGAGTGGCGATTGCACTGTGGAAACTTGCTACACCTGTTTCACAAACAGTCAGTCGGGAATCAATTTGGAGTCAGGAAATTCACCACAGTTGTCATGCAAGTGTGCAGGGCCATTAATCATCTCCTGCTATTCAGAACTGTGACTCTGGGCAATGTGCAGGCCATAGTGGATGGTTTTTCAGAAATGGGGTTCCCATTTGGGGTTCCCAAACTGCTGTAGGGCGATAAATGGCACCCATATCCCTATTTTAGCACCAGACCACCTTGCCACAGAGTACATCCACAGAAAGGACTACTTTTCTAGGGTAATGCAAGCGCTGGTGGATCACCGGGGATGCTTTACCGACATCAGTGTGGGCTGGTCAGGGAAGGTGCATGACATACACATCTGATAACACACAGGACTGTTCAGAAAGCTGCAAGCAGGGATTTTCTTTCCCAGCCAATGGATTACCATTGGGAATGTTGTAATACCAATAGTGATCTTGGGAGACCTAGCAAACCCCTTGCTCCCGTGGCTCATGAAGCCATATACCAGCCACCTCGACAGCACCAAGAAGCACTTCAACTACAGGCTCAGTAGGTGCAGAATGACAGTTGAATGTGCCTTTGGTCATTTGAAGGGTCGCTGGTGTTGTCCATTTACAAAATTGGACCTCAGTGGGGAAAAATATCCTAATGGTTATTGGTGCCTTCTGTGTCCTGCATAATATCTGTGAAGCAAAGGGGGGATAGTTTCTGCTGAAGTGGAGGGTGGCAGTGGCATGGCTGTCTGCTTAATTTGAATGGGCAGATATAAGGGCTATAAAAAGAGCTCAACATGGAGCTGTATGGCTCAGGAACATTTTAATAGTGAGCCAGAGTAGTATGTGTTGCTGTAGTGTGCTCTACCTGGCCTTGTTCTTTTGCAGCCCAGTATGAATCCTGCAGTGAGTGCTGTGTGCATAAGAATATAACACTGCCAATGCACCTATTAATATTGTCTGAGAATGATGTTATGGGTTCTGTGGCAAAATGAAGTAACAGGAAATTTGGGGGTGTCAGATCTGCTCAGCACCAGCCAGCATATGTTGTGAAATAATAAAGGTGAATTATGTTCCAAAAAATATAATTGAATTCTGTAACATGAACCATGCAACTAAAACACATTTAGAACTTTATAAAACTTAATAAATTAAGGCAACACAACTTATGAAGGGGTAAGAACAGTCATTTCCATTTCAGGTACACATACACCAACCATGTCTTTTTCACAAGTCAGCTGTGATTGTCTTTAATGCCCCCCTGAGGTGGAGTGGTAGGGGTAATGCAGTGGCCCCTGATGTCACGTGGAATGTTGAGGAGGGAGGTGTAGGGATGTCCTGATATTGAGTTGTCTATGGGCTGCAGAACGGTAAGCATAGGATTCTTGGACCTGCAGATCTATCACAGCATCTCTGTTTGCTGCCTGAGGGGCCCCATTATGTTCTGGTGATTTTCCCTCTCCTTTTCTTGCTTGGATTCCCAGACCTTTTTCCTCTCCACTCTTTCTGTTTCCATGCTGTCTGCAAGAGCCAACCTCCACGCCCTGGTCTCGTTCTCTGATGCAGCACAAGCTTGCAGCATCTCTTGGAACATATCAACCTGAGTTTTCTTTCTTCTCTTTATCTAGTTCAGGCCTTCTGTGGGTGTGGAGGGGAAAACCCTCAAGGCTACAGTAGCAGCAGCTGCAGATACAACCCAACCCGCAGAGGTACCACTGTCAGTGTATTCACGACAGAAATCAAAACTTAGGATACTGAACTCACTCCCCTTGATCCCTGAAAGTTGTAAGCATTACATTCTGACTTCTCCTTGGGACTGGTACAGCACGGGGCCAGTCACAGCACCAGCCATGGTGAGTATGGCTCTGGGGAGAGGAGTGGGGGGTTAGCTCACAGGCATGAGTATATGTTTATAGGCCAATGGGGCTGAATACAGGCATAGTTTTCCACAGGTGGTGGCTGATATCTCAGTCCTGAGGGTAACAGAGGCCAAGAGAGCACAGCTGCTGCTGGTGTCCTGATGCCGCCTGGGCCCATATGCTGCTAGTCTGTGTACTGTAATGATGCTTGCTGAAGTAATCACTGAATGATGGGAAAATATCCTACCACAGTGGAAGAAATAAGGCAGCCCTCCCCAGCAACCTTCGGCAGAGGATTGCAGAGTACCTCCATGAAAGTTTCATTGAGATCTCTACGGAGAATTCACGGGATATCCCAATGCACATAAACAAACTGCTCTGCGTAGCTCCCTCTGCCTAGCTTCCGAGGGGAAAGAAAAGCAGATAGTAACTCTCTCTCTCTCGGTTGTTTCACTATCTCTTCTAGCACAAGTAAAAAAACAAAAACAAAGTAAATCAACAGATGTGTCCTGATACTTTGGGGGTTCCATCCCTGTAATTTCAAAGCAAATGGCATACTTACCAGAGGTTCCTTCCCCTGCATCAGACTCGTCCATGCTCAAGTGTCAGGACTGGCTGAACTGCGCTGTAGTCAAAAACATATTCTGGCTCACTGCGTGGCTGGATCCCCACCCATCACCTGTCCCCCATACCCCTCCTCTTCTTACTTATCCACCTCTTCCTCCTCGCTGTTCATGGCGGAGGCTGTGATTCAGGCTCCTCCGAAGCATCCACAGGGTTCTTGCGGATAGTGGTGGGGTCTCTGCTGAGGATGGCACACAGCTCTTTGTAAAAGCAGCCGGTCTGCAGCTCTGCACCAGATAGATTGTTGGCCTCTCTTGTCTTCTGGTATGCCTGCCACAGCTCCTTGGCTTTCACATGGCACTGCTGTTGGTCCTTCTTGTAGCCCTTCTTCTGCGAGGAATCTGCTCAGAGATATCAATGTTTCTAGGGCTGGATCAGAGCTGTGCCTGCACAGCCTCTTCTCCCCACAGACTAAGAAGATCCAACATCTCCTTTGTACTCCAGACAGGAGCGTGTCTGAAGTGTGTAGCTGCCATGGTCAGAAGGGCACTTGCACACAAAAGTGGGGAGCTGCTAGATGTGCTTGCCAAGCTAGGCAACCAGAACAAGGAATTTAAAAAATGTGTGGGACTTTAAAGATGCAGCCACGTGTCCCGTGGGTAGCAGAATTCACCGCAGTGACCAGAACGGTCACTGTTGGACATTGTGGAACAGCTCCTGGAGGCCAGTAACCATCAATGTAAGTAACACAGTGTCTACACTGCTATTGCATCAACCAAACTACATTGACCGTGATGCTACGGCACTCGGAGAGGTGGTGTTATTAAGTCAGCGTAGCAGGGCAGTTGTGAAATTTAAGTGTAACTGCATCCACAGCTAGGTTGAGATAAGCAGCCTTGCCCTCGACCAAATCATGTAGTGTAGACCAGGCCTGAATGTGTATAGTGCAGTGGTGGGCAATCTGCGTCCCACAGGCCGCTCGTGGCCTATCAGGGTAAGCTGCTGGCGGGACACCAGACTGTTTGTTTACATTTGCACGGCTGCCCATAGCTCCCAGTGGCCCACCATTGAAATAGTGCTTCTGCAGTTCACTGTAATTATGGGGTGGTGTTAGTAACATGTTTGTTCAGAAATGGAAAATCAATACAAATAAATGTGTGAGAGTAACCCTGAAATAAGAAACCACACTATGTGGAAGAGGGCCAAAAAATACAAACCAAAACCAGAATGAAGTTTCCTATGTCCATGTAGGGCTACCTAAACTTTGTCTAGTGAGGCTAGCAGCTACATGGACTGCACTTAACTGACTTAAAATGGAGGAAATTGCAGGCACCCTCACCTTCGAGTTGGAGATGCAGCTTGTGGAGACAACATACCCTAACACAGCAGCTGTCCTTTTAATCCCCAGTAACCTCTGCTGCATCACATGAAAGGGACCTGAGGTGTCTCTCTATTGTACATATGGGCTGCAGTTTTAAGACTCTTGGTCGAACTGGAGATAAAAGTGAATCCAAGTAATGCAAAATTCTGAACAGTGCTGCAAGGGTATTTAACTCCTACCCCAACCATGATTCTCATGGGGCTTGTTCATAGGTTCTTTGGGGTTATTTTGTTCCTGCCCCTTCCTGTACTCCTAGAAGGCTGTCAGGGGCCAGAGGTACTTCCCTCAGCACACAGAGCCATGTGCAAGATGCAGAGCCCAGAGCAGGAGCAAAAGGCCTGGAAGATTGCAAGAGCAGGGGCGTAGCAGGGATCCTGGGAGCAGAGGCAGCTGGGGTGAGCTGTACCAGGAGCAGGTCAAGTGCCCTGGCTGGGCTAGCAGGCTGGGCTGGGTAGCACTCCAATGACCCAGGGAGGCTGTTTTGCTGTCTGGCCTGGCCTTTCCTAGGATTTCTGCCTTGCTTCCCTCTCAAGCTGGGACATTACACCCACGTGTGGGAGTGGCCTGGCCACGTGAGGGAGGGGCGCTCACATGGTGTGTAGCGGGGAATGCTTGGGGTGGCAGTCCGCGCTTGAAGGCGAGGCGGGGGCCTATCGGTGTGAGGAGGGAAGGAGTGAGGGGTTGGGGTGAGTGGCGAGGAAGGGGGGTGCGCTGGGGAGGGCTGAGCAGTGTGGGGGGAAGGGAGGGAGGGATGAGGATGGGGGGGTGGATTTCCTCGCCTGGGGGCCAGGTCCTGGGGAGCTGGGCACGGCCAGGGCCGGTCTGTGAGCCCCGGAGGAGATGGCGCCCGGAGTGGCAGCCGCCGGGACTCGGGTCTCCCCCTCCCCGCGGGGACCGGGGCTGCAGTCTCCCCGCCCGGCGCCCCGGGGTAAGCCCGGCCTGAAGCCGCTGCTCGCTGCACTGGGCCTGGGGGCTAGGGACAGGCTGCAGGACCCCTCCCCCCGCGGGGCCGTGGCGCCCGGGGAATGGGGCGGGGGGCTTGGTCCTGGCGCAGCTGGGAATGCCGCGCTGCCAGAGCCAGTGCATAGGCAGCGGGCGGGGGAGGGAGGCCTTCGGCCGCCGCCCGCTGCACAGCGAGGTGTCTGTCCTGCTGTGGCTTTGACTCAGCAGCCCCGGGCGGCGGCCCCTTTAAATGCAGAGCCTGGGGTGTGATGAGTGCGCGTCTCTCTGCTGCCCCCTCCCCGCTCCGCTGCAGTGACAAATCCGCTCGCTCCTGCCCTGCCTCCACCCCCTACAGCGCGCCGCTCTGCACCCAGCGCGCCAGCCAGCCCGCCCGCCCGCTTCTCTCCGCCGGGAGCCAGAGCCGCTGCCCACCGTGCGGCCGCCCGCAGAAGCCAAGGGAGGAGAAGGAGAAGGGGACAATGGAGGTTCCGCGCCTGGATCGCAGCAGCATGAGCAGCCCCACCAGCCCCTGCGAGGATGTGATCAAGAATCTCAGCCTGGAGGCGATTCAGCTCTGCGATAGGGACGGTAAGTCTGGGCTCCATAGGGCTAATCCTCGCAGACGCAAAATGCTGCTGCCCGCTGCCCCGTGGATGCTTATACAAATTAATCCCCTTGGCGTATGGTCCTTTGTTACCCCCCATGTATTTGTAGGTGTAAGCACCCCCCCCCACACACACACACGCACACACCCTCCTGCCTTTGGAGAACAAAAGAAAAGGAGAAGGTTGCACCTTATTGGGGGGAACCCACCCCTCTTTGAAATCTTCCCTTACCATGCAGTGCTTTTACCTATGGGGCTGTCGGCTCGCCTGCTTCCCAGTCTTGCCCCTTAACATTAATGTACGTTGTGGGGTTTATTCCAAGAGAGACATTAAAGAGCTAGGGGTAGATTTGCAGCGAGATTCGGGGTCTAGATACTGGATATTGATTGTAATGATTTTGGTTAGCCATGATCGAGGCTGAGGCTCAAACTCCTTTGTAGCGTTTTGTATCGTAGGGTAGTTCTTGTACTGAACATATACATAGGCGTCTGCTAGCTCTCGTTGTCTAATGCAGAAACTTGTTGCCAATTCCTTTTTGTTTTTGAATAATAACCCAACAGAATGAACTAACGATCTGTTTGTCAAAATGGGGTTTGGAGTGGTAACGCGAAATTGGGAAGGAAGGAGGAGTTTCCATATTTCAGCACCATAGACAGATACAACCTTCATGATTCTGGGCAGTGATTCAAAAATTGCCAAGCATCTGCACTGAATTGGCCTGGTACATCTGGTAGAATGCATGACTGATGCTATACATTTTGTGCGTTAATATTAAAACCTTTGTTCTGTACACAGAGTTCTAAGTCTAATGCTCAATAGAATTGAAATAAACAGATGTGCAAGCTACGGAACAAAATTGGTATACAATGTAGGTAGTTGTGCTAAATGGCATAGCTGGACTGTTAAACAAATGAAGTTTTGTTTTACAGTGCAGAAGCAATTTTAAGGATTAACTGAGTTGAAGTAGCCCAAACAATTATAAGGTTGTAATGAGGAGCCAGGAAGGAACAGTTTACATACTGATGCACAAATACTGAAGACTAGCAATTATAAGTGAGGTTAATATTAATTATATACAGTTATGTCCAACTTCCAAGAGTGACATGATACTAAAACAACAACAGAGAAACTTGTGTTTAGAAAAATTACCTGAGAGTATTATCTAGCAAAACAAAATTTAGTCTTGTGTTCAGTTATCTGAATTATTCTTGTCTCCTTGCTTTGACATAAAAAAGCATAAATAACTTTAACATAATTTGATAATATTTTTCAGTTTAAGTGGTGAAAGAACAGAACAGAATTTGGCTTATTTAGTGACTTCACTGAACATTTGGGTTATTATGCTAAGAAGTTATACTGCTTGGATTAATTTAAGTTTTTTCTCTACATGGATATATTTTTGCAGCATAATTATTGTAGGTATCAATTGATTATGGAAATAATCATTCTGATTTTCTTTAGTATTCTGTTAAAAGCATGTTATTGTTAAATGTTTCAGTACTTTTGATTTAACCAGACTTGATTGTCTCATAGTTGAGGATGTGTAAAGTCTTGATTTTTTTAAAATGTTGTTAAAGAAACTGAGAAGGTATTTCAATAGAGCTTTCAGTTACTTTTATGGCAACATAAGAAATTCTTTTTGTTTACATATTTTAAATTCAAGATAGAATGTGTGTTTCCATCCCTACATTTATACCTAAATCACTGGTTAGGGAAACTTAATTGTATATATATGTGAGTGGATCACAGATAAAATAAAGCTTTCATTGTATGTTGATAGATGGAGCAGCATACTGTGACAAAATTAACTCTGCAGTTACAATTTCCCCTAAATCTGAAGGACTAGATTGCTGTTGTTTGACAAAATACTCTTACGTGAGTTTCCCTATATTGGAAATAAACAAATTACGTAATCTTTAATTTTTGCCTGCCCCAAGCTAGGCTGATAAAGTCTGCTATGTTAATTGCTGCAGTCTTCTAATTGATTTAGCATACTGTAATTAAGCAGTGCTCAATTTTTATGGAAGAGTCTGGGGCAGACTAGCAGATCCAAATAATTAATTTTTTTTTTTTAATCAAGAATTTCCTGTTTAAACTGTCATCATTGGAAAACAACTTTTGCTTCTGTAGATCTGGTTTTACGAGCTAATCCCCATGCGTATTAAGCCCCAATACGATATTGCATCATTGCTTCACGCAGTACAGATCTAAATTTTAAAAAGATGCACCTGCATTGCCCATGTAAAGTCTGCAATTGTGTGCCTAATTGGGCACAGAATTGCACTTGAACATACTTTAGTATTTCCAACAGGTGGCACTTAAAAACCAAAAAATCATGGTTTAATGTGAACACAAAAACAAGTAGATGAGCCTGGAGACGTTGAGCTGTGTAGTTGAGAGTGCAAGAACATATTTAGGCATCTAAATTGGTACCTATATTTAACCAGTGCATTTGTGTGTATACATATTATTTATGATTTATTTTAATGCACCTTCTTGTAAGGCTTGGTGCTCAGGGCGAAATGTGCCCCCACTGAAGTGAATGAGGGTTTTGTCAGACAGTGTCTTACAGATAAACATGACTTTGAATCCTTTAAAAATGTCTTTTTGTATGAAAGTTGTATAAAACTAAAAGAGCGGGCACTCTTTTTTTTTAAAAGTGTGGAAAAAAAACTTATGAAAAACAGAACTATGCCTGGGTCAGCTAGAGCATAACACATTAGAGCGCTTTTGCAATTGCACCCCTCTAATGCCTTTTGCCGGGGATTTGTAGACAAGACCTTAGCGTAAGGACGTTTTTTTCTCAATAGTCATGCAAAATGTCCCCTTACTTATTCAGTTTCATCATTTTTACCATAATATTCCTCTCCTCTCCCTCCTTGTTCGTCTCCCTCATTGCTGTTTACACACTTCAGATATGTGTATAGGCAGTCCTCAGACTTACGACACGATTGGTTCCTTACAATTGTGTCATAAGTCGGAATGTCGGAACTCGGAACTGCAATCTAGTCCATTGCGGGACCGAGCGTCGTAAACTCGAAACCTATAGTCATAAGTCGAATCAGGAAACTTATGTCTACGTAGAAGCGTCGTAAGTGCCGTTCGTCATAACTCAAACATTGTAAATTTGAGGACTGCCTGTAATTGGTTATCAACCACATTAGCTGTCTTGTAGCCAAACTATACGTATTTAGCTCTTTTAATCTTTCCTCACAAATTAATCCCTTCACTCCCCTGCTCGTTTCTTTTACTCTTCTCTGAACTGCTTCCAGTTTGTCTGTAAAGAGGTGCCTGAACTGAATGAAATATTCCATGTATAAGCACAGCAAGCCACATGGGATATGTCTGCAGTGCAGCTGGGAGTGTGCCTCCCAGCCCAGGTAGACAGACATGCTAACTCTGCTCAGGTGGGCTTGTGCTTGGGCAGCTTGTCCATGCTGCAACATCCGCGCCACTATTTTTGGCATGGTAACTTGAACAGAGCTAGTGTGAGTCTCCCTACCCAAGCTGGGAGATGTGACGCTAGCAACCAGATGCCAGCTCATGCCCAGGCTTCACTGAACACTTACAAATGCATAACTAGAAACCAGTGTTGCTTACCTGTGTGAACATTACGAACATAAATACTAGCTGGTAAGTTGATTAGAATGAGTTTAGTGTTTTATAAACTGCTTGTGGAATACTGTATGTATTGTTCTCACTCAACTATACCCCATGTTATACTGTGATACCTAGCATTTGCATTGTAAACCTGTGACTACATAACTCATCAAACAGGGAAAAAGCCTTGTGTAATGCAGATGATGGTCTGTAATAAGATGTTAAATCCTGTCCACTAAATGCAAATGAGCCATTGTGCGAGGTCAAGGATAAAAGACTTTAAGTGCATTCCTCCCCATCCCACTTCCATGAAGAAGGGAACTCCTTGGGAGCGGTTTCTATTAGCTTGATGTATTAGGGAAGAAGATATAAAAATGCCTCACAAGGAAAAATGATCATCTCTTTGCTGGTTGAACTCTCATAGGGCCAGAGACACTAAACTAAAGCAGAGATCCCTAGGTTCAACCTGGGTCTACCCTGACAGACATTTTGAATGGACAGATTACTACATCTCTGTCCTCTTTAGGAATCCTAGATGGTAGTTCATTTGTGTGTATATTAAGTATCAGGGGGTAGCCGTGTTAGTCTGTATCTACAAAAACAACAAGGAATCTGGTGGCACCGTAAAGACTAACAGATTTATTTGGGCATAAGCTTTCGTGGGTAAAAACCTCACTTCTTCGGATGCATATGTGTGTATATGTTTACTTGCTTTAACCTGTAAATTACTCTCATTTCTTTTTCCTAGTTTATAAATCTTTAGATAGTTTATTTCAGGATTGGCTACAGGTGTTGTCTTTGGTGTAAGATCTAAGGTACCAATTGATCTGGGGTAAGTGACTGGTCTCTTGGGACTGGAAGCAACATGAATATTTTGTGATTTTTGGTGTAAGTGACCACTTCCACAAAGTCCAGCTTGCCTGGGTGGCAAGATAGACTGGAGTGCCCAAAGCACTGTCTGTGACGCCATAGTAAGACTGGTATAGTGATCCAGGAGTTCACATTTGTTACTTGGTTGGTGAACTCTAATTATAGACCATACCACTAATTTGGGGTGTCTGCCCTGTTTTTGACTGTCTGCCCTGAGATAGGCACTCACGGTCGTGAGCCACTCCGGACAGTGTGACAGGAGGGTCTGTCCCAGCTGCAGTGTAGACACACCCACAGAGAGGGTGTGTCAGTTCCCTACTCTGTAATATATCTATGGGTTCGCAGCTCAGAACTGCATTGTTTTTTTTTCTCAGTTAGTCTGCAAACTTCTGTCTAATTTCTGTTCACTATTTATATTTAGGACTTTTTAAATATGATTACTGCTTTCCATATTTCTCCCTTCCACTGAGTATGTTTGTTTCAGATTATTTTTTCCCAAATGTATTATTCTGC